ATATATATCTCTCTCGAATTCGAAGTTGTTAATTATGAGGCATATTCCACTGGTGGTTTTATACGTCTTTACTTTGGATTCTATAAAGATAATAATATATCATGTTTTAGCATCATACTATGCATACTGTATATAAACATTCTAAATATAATATAAAATATATATCTATAAATATATATAATGCATGACATGTTCTTTAAATAGACTGATGCACACAATACTGAATCACTGGATCCAACGATAAATAAGTATTAATGGTCACATTTTTAATGATCCAAAATGTAAAATTGATGTTATTATTTATTTCTTGCTATCAGCAAGGCTTAGTCAAAAGTGCATGTACGACAGTAACATCTCAATTTTAGAGTTGACTTTGGATAATTTAAAAAAGAACCACTAATACTTAACTGATGCACACATAGTCCCAATTTATACAAATAAACATTGAGAGACAACAATAATAATAATAATAATAATAATAATATAGCGCATTTTCAGAGTACAGTATACATTATTTTGTTCAATGCGCTTTACATAAAAAGATGATAAAATACAGACGATTATGAGAGATATATCTTTAGTCTTTGTACTCTTCTTCATTGTTGACATGATATTTGAAAGAACTAAAATCGAATTCGATACTATTTCCCCTTCTCTGCTGCGACTTACAAGGTAGTTTCCAGCTTAACCATACAGGTAGCTTTATTATTATTATTTTAGTGTGTTACTCGAAGTTTTCTCAGGATATTGTCACGTTATCACCAAATTGTAGTCACGTGCACCGTTACTTTTCACATAATTACCCAGTCGTTAAATCAAAGACGTCCTCTTGGTATTCAAATAAATTTTTAACAAAAACAGGGCGTATAGGCCTATCTAGGGGTCACTCCAAAAATACTAGTGCACACAGTTGCCACCCCTCCCCTCCCCCTGAAAACTTTCACCTAAAAATTACCTTACTTTGCGAGTTAGAGCCCCTCACCTAATCATCGAGCCCCACGTGATCTTCTTGCTCCCCCACCAGCCCTTCCATTTGAAGACCCGTACGCTATTGTACGGTACCGGTAACTAAATCCTAAAATATCAGAGCTTTCGAGAGCTTGAAATAGTGTGTACTAACCTAGTTTCTGGGCGGGCTCTTCAGTAGGCATAGATCTATACAAGGATGAAGCTTGGATATCTATAATGAACCATTTCATTTTATATAATTATATGATAATGCAATTACTACGAATTATGTGTATTCATGTATTGCACTGGTACAAACATTTACTTTATGTGAAAATAATTTTCAATTGAAAAAATATTAAGTGCAAAAATTGTCAACTAATTATTATTTTTATTCTATTTTATTCATTTCCTTTGCATAAACTGTATTTTTTTTTTTTGTTCTTTCGAGTTTCTAAAGCAACTCTCACACTATCACGACCTATATACACTGCGATCAGTATACGACCGACACCGACCAGTGTGAGAGCTGCTATGAGCAACTTGCTCGCGTCGAAGAGAGGGTCGTCGATGGTCGCGGAGTTTCCAACATGTTGAAAAAAATATAGTGGTCGGTACTGGTCGCCAGGTCCTGCTTCCGGTCAGATACGACAGAACCTCAAAACCAGCACAAATTCCATGTCCCCAAAGTGGTCTCTAATTCGAGGGCGAACTGTGGTTATTTATGTTTATGTTTATGCAATGGAAGTGCATCAGAAAAAAGGTCACAAAATGTGTATCTTGATATAGAAATACATAGGCATAATCGAGAATGATAAAATTAAAATTCGTTTTATGCCAGTCGATTTCTTAATAAAAAAAGATGGTCGTCATGCTAACGACAGTGAAGAATATTCCTGTTATGTAATATCGAGTTGAAGGGATTTTAACGAACAATTAAATCCTTTTGTAGGTTAAATTACCATTCTCTCTTATATATAATGGTTATTTATTCAGATAAGATAGTATAATACATACTCCAATCGAAATGCACGCCATCGTGTCGGCATTTCGATAATTGGAGTACGTATTAATATTATATTATCTGAGATTAATCAGTGGACCTTTCGGTATTTATTCAGATTCAAGCATTATGTAACCATAAGAAAGAATTAACAATAGAATTTTTGAAAATAACAAAACAACCAAAAAAGAAACAATTTCATTATACATAGCCTAAAATTTTTTGAAAAAAAAAATGCATTGAAATTGCCGCACTATAATTTAATTAACAGAGAAACAATGTTGTTTAGAAAATTACATTATGTACCGTATATTAAAAACACTAAATTGGTGTATAATTAATACATCAAAGCTACCGAAAAATTATTTTATTACAAGAAAAACAATATAATTTAAATAATTACATTTTATATACACTGAAGACGTAAAGGCTGTAGAAAGAGGGCAATAAATTATTATTCTATCCTATAGAAAGGTCCGGCGACCCTACAATATATTTTGCGATTATATTTTGGGTGGCGACCCATAGTTTGAACACCACGGCTATATTAATGTATTAGCCTACTAACCTGATTCCTGGACGGGCTCTCCAGTAGTCCTGTGTGGATCTTGAATATCTACAATGAAGAATTTCGATTTTTAATTAATTATATGATAATGTTATTACCACCACGAACTATTTTTCATTTTGTGTATTCATACATTACACTGATAAAAACACATAATTTCTGTGATGTAATTTTCAATTAAAAAATAGTAAGTGTTACAAAATCGTCAATTAAGGGGAACAAATAGCTAGCAACAATTTAGAATATACCTTCTTTTAGTGCGTTCAATGCTGGTTGAATATCAAGTTCAAGTGATTCCAACGTAGAAATGAATTCATTCATTATTTCTTCTTTAGGCCAAATTTTCATTCTGTCTTCGAGATCCGTGATCATAACCCAGACGTCGGCATACTCTTTACTAGTAGGACTATTATATAAGTCATCTATCTTTACCACATATTTTTCATCAAGTAATATCCCAAACTTCATTAGCCTTAGTCTGTATGGTTTGAAATGTTTTGAAATTGTTATTTCATCAACATCCGGGAATGTCTTCAGTTGTTTTTTGATTTCCCATTGAAGATTGAATTGTTCAGTCACGCTAATGGTATCGCTCAAGATAGTTAGATCTGTTGTAGTCAGAACATCACGTACCGTCAAACTGTTCAACAGCTCTATAGTTTTTGTTGCCTTCGCGAGATCATTATATTTAATCTTATCTCTGAACAACACTTTCAACATAGTAAAACGGCGATGTGTGTCATACCAATTTGAAAAAACCATTTTAATTACTTTGAACTTCATATTCGGTACCGGTGGTAGGCCTATAATGAAATAATCTTCAGTATATTAATATCATACGTCATCGATATTCATGCTGATGATCATGATCGTCATCATCATCATCGTAATCATCATCATCTACGTTTACTGTGCAGAACCACTTTTGACCATACTCGCACATGTGAATCGAGTAGTTGCACATGTGGGTTGAGTATAGTCGCACATGTGGGATGGTCACTATTGCTGTAGGTAAATTTCCATATTCAGAAATCTTTTTTATTATTATTCAAGGTTATTTTTATTTATTTATTTTATTTATAATTTTTTAAATATCGTGATAAATGGTATGTTTTAATTAAATAATCAATTTAAGATATCATCAGTATATTAATATTATATCTCATCTGCATTCATCATCATCATCGTCATCATCATCATCATGATCATCATCATTATTATCATCATCATCATCATCATCATCGTCGTCGTCATCGTTATCGCCTTCATATTCCTTAACTGTGCAGAACCTCTTTTGCGTACAGTCGCACATGTGGGTTGGCCACGCTGCAGCTAAGCTTATGTTTCATACTTACAAATCTTTTGGTAATTATTAAAGTGTATTTTTATTTATTTATTTTTAATTTTTAATATGTCGTAATGGATGCTATACTGAAAATAGTATTTTCTGTGTAGGCTATTTGTTAAAGTCGAATTTTGCAATATGTGTAATTAACTTTAAGTCGCATAAGACGTCAATAGAGATTCAGTAAGCATAACATAGTGGTGTTAAAATACTACGACATAAACAGTTGGCAACCTTATTGAGATGGTACAGGTGAATGTTTTTAATTAATATCTAATAGAAGGGGACGGACGTCGGGGAGGGGGATTCTGGTTCGCAAATACAATATACAAGTCTTTCCCAAATAGAAAATATAATGGAATAAAATTACTAAAATTATAATTAGTATTTTCTGTGTAGGCTATTTGTTAAAGTCGAATTTTGCAATATGTGTAATTAACTTTAATTCGCATAAGACGTCGATAGAGATTCAGTAAGCATAACATAGTGGTGTTAAAAATACTACGACATAAACAGTTGGCAACCTTATTGAGATGGTACAGGTGAATGTGTTTTTAATTAATATCTGATGGAAGGGGACGGACGTCGGGGGTTGGGGGGAGGGTTATTCTGGTTCGCAAATACAATATACAACTCTTTCCCAAATAGAAAATATAATGGAATAAAATTACTAAAATTAATCTTTAATTTTTACCTTTGCTGCATGCCATGTTGAGTAAAATGATATACCGTATACATGTACTTCCTGTAATGTTAAGTTATTCCTGAAATGAAAATTGTATCAATGTGTCAACATGGCCTAATGATTACACTCTTTTCTACAAGTTAAAGAGCGTTTATTTTGTCAGGTTTAAATAAAATCGCTACGGTGTCGCCACTGCAATCGTTACAACTACGACGATATCAGGACGCAATCAGGAGGCTCGCTCGAGTCACAGTGTAATATTTGCTTAAACTGCCCCTGACCGTGTTATTATATAGCCTACTAGTTTGTGTGTTGAGGATAAAAATACATGAAATGAACAGTGGCGTCACGGAGTTTGTGGGGTCCTGGCGCTGACTGTTATTGGGGGCCCCACAAGCCAAGCCCGTAAACAGGATTTTCAATGGAGAGGTGCGTTTTGCAAGCGAGACGGACCTTAGGCTGGGTGGGGGGGGGGAGGGCTAGGAGAATCCTCCGGAAGCTCTGATAAATTAGCATTTTGAGCGCCTCATAAATGGATTTCTACAGTATTCTATTCAAATTTGTATTCATGTAGGTGTTGTTAGGGACCTAAAGTTGTAACTTTTGATATCCTTATATGTAGGCCTACAGTTAAAATTTAATTGTTTATAATGGATCCATCTCCAATCACTGGAGCTGATATTTCCAACAAATTTTGTACCACAGTTGGCAAATAATATGCAATGCATACAATAGCTAATTTTTACTGTACTGTACTTAAGAGGTTATAAAAAAGAAGTAATAGGTTGAAAAAGTGGACCTTTTTAGAATTTGGGGTGGGGGTGTCTGCACCCCTGCCTACGGGCTTGTAAGCGAGCAAAGCGCGCGTTAAGTTTGCGTGCGGTGCTAACAGACGCTGGGGAGGGGGCAAGGGTCGTGTAGGCCATTTTAATCATGAGCCTGAGATAATGCGGTTTCTGTATGATGATGCCAGGCCAGTGATATGTTCAATGTTTAAAACTGTCGGGGCCCTATTGAATGAAACTATGATATTATATTTTACATCATATCTTGTTTACACTACAATGTGGGGGCCCCTCGTGCATGGGGGCCCTGGCGCTCCTCCACCCACCCTCCGTCAGCGCCCAAGCGTGACGCCACTGGAAATGAAATGAATCCTCCGAATCACTAAACCTCACCACATTCTTCTCGACTTGAGCCCATAATGGCGTCTAATGACATTTTATTTACTGAAAAATAATAAAATTTACGTATATGTTTGCCTTTTTCGATTATAATGAAAAATCCTTAAAAATTTTAAAAATTTGCATTCTATTTCCAATTAAAAATAAATTAGTGGCAATGCGTGTAAAATTGTCACTTATATATAGAATAATTTTTTAAAATTATTTATTGTTAGACCTAATTTGACACACTCCCTACTCTGGCCTGCGGTCGATCCACTCGTGTCGACTCGGATGTAAATCGGTCCAGTAGGTTTATAGTTATACTGCCAGAAGGGCATACACACAACACCACCCACCCCCTCACACACATACGCAGACGCGCGCTAAAACAATACCTTTGAAGAGCCGAGGGTAACAATACCATTCATCTCTCCCTGGGAGAGGCAAGGGGAGAAAACTAAAAAGCATAAGTGGAGGAAAATACTGAGAGTAACATTGCGGTATGGTCTAGGCCTAAACGTCAGGCTGTTGTTATTTAACAACTCCATGGTCACACACAAGGAAGACGCATACAAGAAGAAGAACAGCAATCATAAAGGACAAAAATACCCACAATCACAAAATACTTGACATGCTTCTATATAATTGAGGAAACCAATGAGCATCCTGTTTGCATGTAAGCATTAAACTTGAAAAATGAATATAATATACTTGCATGAATTGATTAGTGTCAATCTCCGTCATCAGGAAATATTGACATTTAAAAGATTCAAAGCTCGGGCTGATAGTGAATTGTAATGCTTACCCGTACTACTACTACAACTACTACTACTACTACCACTACTACTACTCCAACTACAACTACTACCACTACCACTACCACTACTACTACTACTACTCCAACTACAAGTACTACTACTACCACCACTACTACTACTCCAACTACAACTACTACCACTACCACACTACTACCACTACCACCACTACCACTACCACTACCACTACTACTACTACTACTACTACTACTACTACTACTACTACTACTACTACTACTACTACTACTACCACTACCACTACTACTACTACTACTACTACTACTACTACTACTACTACTACTACTACTACTACTACTACTACTATTAATAATAATAATAATAATAATAATAATAATAATAATAATAATAATAATAATAATAATAATAATAATGGAAACATGTAAAATAATGGGGGACATTGAAGATATGATGAAGAAAAAACGTATGATTAAAACAGGATAATACTGAGAGAAATAGACACCTCTGAGCTTGTTTTTTTAAATATTTATTTTAAAACGCCCACAATTGTTAAAATTATTACTGACAAATATTTTTTATTATCACTAGCGAACCCTATGACTCAATCGTGACGTCATCATTTTAATCCCATATCCTACTCCAGACAGGCCCGTGACCAGCACCTACCCAAGGGCGAGGGATAGGGTGGTGTTCATACAATATCATGCAATCAGAGGAATTTCTTTTAAGACCGGTGTAACAGTAGCCACTGTTTAAATATTCATCTATCGGTTTAAAATAAAGATAATATTATTATAATCATCCTACAACAAGAAGTATTAATGTGATCATGAAAAAGGTCTGTTCCGATTTGGTAAAAAAAAAAGTTTTAAAGGGAACGGTTAAGGTGTTGTCAGAAACCATAAAGGCTATTGGCTACAGCCCTGCGTTAGTGTACACAAAGTGAATAACTTATAAACTAACTAAAAAACGCAAGGCTTATAAAAAAAAAAGGTGTTGAATAATGAAGCAATTATTGTCAAGTATTGCTTCATAGTGTCCACAGAAGAACCCACAGTATAATGGTTTATTTTTAACTACAATTATTATCATTAATATTATTGTACACAAATCAGTTGTAATTTAGTCACATGAAATTGAGTCTAATAATGATAACAATAAGGATAATAACGTATAATTTCATGATTATAAATCATTTATTGTTATTAGGCCTAATTATTATATATAGTACTTACCATATTATATTATAATACTGTAATTGTATATTTTGTAAAATAACATAAATATTGAATAATAATACGAAATGTATAACAATGTCACATGACATTGACTCTAATAATGAATACAATAAGAATAATAACGTATGATTTCATGATAATAAATTTATTTTATTCATTTTTCTCTTTTTATTAAATATATACCGAAGTACTTACCATATTATAAATAATAATTGTATATTTTGTAAAATAACGTAAATATTGAATGATTGTACGAAATTTATAAAACAAAAACTACTACAGGGCAGGCCCATTACTATATCTAACGGGGGCGCGATGCGGTACAAGACCGGCTTTGTGGTGTCGACTTGACACTACCGTTGGTCGTGAAGGCTAAAACCATACCTCAGTTTATTACGCCTTCACGCTCCCCAATCGTGATAATGGATATTGCTTTTGCATCTATAAAACTATATGAATGATCTTTTTTTCATTCACACAACCTTAGGAGTA